GAACTTTTGTTCAAGTGAAGTATAGGAGCCTTAACACAACCTGTTTAAACACCTAATGCTAGTCAAAGACAATACAAGGAAAGTAACTCAGCTAAAACAGAGTAAGTATCTAATGAGTAGGACATCCGCTTAAACAGAACGAACTAGAACAATCGGAGCATCAGTGCTCACACACTCCCAAAACTACACTTCAAAACTGCCCAACCGAATGAGTGCCTTCTGCCATGCTGTACAGAATTGTCAAAGAATTAAAAAACACTTTGACACACCACAGAGAGCACAAAGGTAGCTCTGCAGAAAACCACAACACAGTGCTACTAACAATGAACTCTGAAAAAATTAATCAGGAGGGGCTAACCAGGAAAACAGTCAAAGTCTGAACATAGATTTCTTCCTGCCTGAAGTTCCCTTAACTGCAATGTATTTTATTTTTCACAGAAAATAGAGAGATGGCTTTTCTTTCTAAAAGAAGCCTTCTCATCAGAATGTAAGTAGAGGTGACCCAATCACCAGTCTTTTTGCCTGAGAATACAGTAAGTGCTTGTTCAACAACTACCATGCTACAACTGAGCCATATGTTTCCATACTGGAGGTATAAGTGATAACAATCCTGATGCTACATACACACAAGGACAGCTGACTTCGGAGAGCAATTTTACTATCCTCCAATTAGAACAGAGTAGCTTCCAGTTCTGTTTACTATTTTATTCTTTTTCCACAAGCAGTGTATGCTTGTTCCTACCAACTTTGACCACAGAATCATAGAATATCCTGAGTTGGAAGGGACCCGCTAGGATTAGCAAAGTCCAACTCCTGGCCCTATATAGGAGAGCCCCAACAATCCTACCATATGCCCGAGAGCATTGTCCAAGCACTTCCTGAACTCCAGCAGGCTTGGTGCTGTCCCTGGGGAGCCCGTTCCAGTGCACCTGGAAAGGAATCTTTTCCTAATATCCAACCTAAACCTCTCCCAACACAGCTTCACATCGTTCCCTCAAGTCCTGGCACCGGACCAGATCATACAATGAAGAATAGCGTGGTTGTGACTGATGACTGCCTTTTCTAGATCCTTTGGAACAATGACATCTCATTGAGTCGGAGGGTTCCACACTTAATGTAACGATCACATAAAGCGTTGCAAAGAATATCCAATGCACACATAGTTTCAACTACCACGCTTCATATACTCACTTAGATGCTTAAAGATGTTAATTTCAAGAAAACCACAATACCAAGTTGCAGAGGTAACACAGCTTTTACTCAGTAAATCAAGAGTATGAGCTTTGGACACGCACTCTAATTTGCTCTTGAATAATTACTAAATAGCAAATCAAACTGCCATCCCCATTTATCCAGTCAGAGTCAAGCAATTGGGTGGGCCATGACAGAGTACCCAAATAGTTTAGGCAATGTTGTTAATCTTCACAGTAGAAAATTTACTTATTTTCAGGCCCAGTGCATAAGAGTACTGAAAAGTCATTGAAAGTTGCTGAAATATACCTGTTCTAAATATCCTATTCAGAATGTGTCACAATTTTATCAGCTTGAAACCCGCAGGACTGAAGTGTGAACAAATAGTACTGGCAACTCTAAACAGCCCAAGCAGTAAACTGACCTAACTACTCCCATGTTTACATAACAGTCATTCTCTCCCAAAGTTGGTCTCAACATAACCATTATCCTCTAATAATAACACACTGCTAGTCTATAGGTTTTAAAAACCATAAGGTTTACAATCTCAGAAAAAAAAAAAATCCTCACGTAATTTATACATAGTTTAAAGGAAGACTTGAGTTGTTTGTTAATAATACTGATTTTTTGTTCACAGGAACTTTCTAAAATAGACATCAAGCTTTAAAAACAGCACTTTGCTTGCTACAAGTCCAGAGATATATGGTCAACTTTCTCATACAATGCTAGCACTGAAACACAGGGCTAGCCTTCCAAACCATAAAAGGAATATTATCCTTTGCATTGCAAAGGCATTAAACAAAATATTTTTGGTTCTTAATGGTAAAGCTACTGCTTACCCATGAGAAAAGCAGCAGGGAAACTGGACATTGATGTTAATGGCTGATGACCCTTTAGCAATACAGTTAGTATTGTAAATTCACATTAAAAAAGACATACCAGTAAACAAAAAATGTACAGATCTCAATGGATGAAGTATAGAAAGGAAAATGCAGATATAAGATGTACAGATAACAATACACATTCACTGATTACTTACTAGCAATTTTTTTTTCGTATTTCCTGCAAGCATATTGCTTACAGTAGCTTTTACAAACAAGGCTCTAAGCAGGAACACACATTCTGTCCTGCTAAAGAACTCTTTTTCAAACCCCTGGTTATTTTCAAACTCATATTAAAAGCTTAAAGAGAAGACACTTAAGCAAAACTGCAACCTTCTGCCTATTCCAACCTAAAGCATCAGGCCATGGAAAACAGACATTACGAGGAAATCCAAACAATTTGAAACCATGACATAGAATCCATTCCACACAAAGAAGTTTGCACGGTGTCTAGGTAGCCAGAACTTTTATACACACCATAAAACCACCCTCATAGTATAGCTCTTACAGGATAGCAGTATTTGTAGTATTGGTTAATCCCTTATTGTTGCAAACAAACAATTCATACAGAAAATCTCACCTGCCAGAAGAAGAAATTATACAAAGAAATGAAGGAAAGGTAAACCAGAAATTATTGAGCTCTGCCCTTAGTTTTTAAGGCTGCTCTTTTTTCACTCTTTGGTCAAGATAATAGCTTTGCTTTGTTTCCATTCTCCATTTCCCTAACACCTTTAGAAAAGGAGAAAACTTTAGCTACCTTACTGCAACAAAACAATGGTTATCACAGCTACTACAGTTTAAGAATAAACAAGAATAATGACTGTTATTACAACAAGCAAAATAGGCCTCAAAACCACAACCTCACTATGGGTGGCACCTCACTGACTTGACAGAGCTACTGCCTTGGCTAGGTATTAATTTGGTCAGTGACCAACCACAGAAATTAGTCACAGAACACATTCCAGAAATGGGATTTGAAGCAACAGTTGATCAAGCTGGTTTCTATTTCTGATTTTAATCCCTGGGTTTGATCTAGGCAGAGGAAAAAATGACCTTCCTGCACCTACTGCCACAAAAGGCTAAGAGATTTAAATTTGTTTGCTAGCATATTAAATTTGCTCAAACACATCCTTTCGCTATAAGTACGAAATACTAAAAACTCAAGCAGCAAGATACAGCATTCTCACATTATGACATCATCCTGTCTGGTATACTTTAATACAATTTGGAAATAAAATTTGATTAACTGAAGGCAGCTTAAAGAGGATACATTAAAGATCCAAATTGAGGACACTTATCCAGTAAAATGAAAAAGGAAGCACAGCACAATATCCAGCCTTTCCAGTGACTTCTACTGAACAGGCCTTACTGGCTGTTCTGATGGGCTATGACAAATACAGTTATCCTATACTGGATGAGTGAAAGTAATCCACAAATCCAAGCAGTGGGTTTAAAGACAATACACAAACAATACACAAACAAATCAGGGTACAACCTTACCATATAGATCTGTAGAAGGCCTGACACAGGGGGAAATGAGAGCCATACATTCTCCATGCGGTTTCAACAACAAACCAGGTTCCTAGTTTCCAAGCTGAAAACTTCCTTCTACTGAGGAAGAGCACCTACTTTCAGAGATTCATATTTGCATTTCTTATTACAAGATGCTCACTCTTAACAGCATCCTGATCATTGACAGAAAAATATCAACAAAGTCTTTGTGATAATAATGATTTCTATCAAGGCTGGGTTTTAAGTTTATAAACATCATCAGAAAATGTGGTGGAAATACAGATGCTATTCTTGGAGCATCAAAAAAGTAGAGCATACATGAACACAGACAAAAACTTTGAGGTTACCACCTGTAAAGGCATATTACAAGAAATAATCTCCACCATGTCAGTATAACTACTTATGAACTTTAAGAAATGTTAAATATTTTACAAGAGCCACAGGGAAAGCAAGCAGTTACACTAACCACAAAGAATCACTGAGAGAAAAAGTCATAACTCTCTTGCCATACAGATCCAAGGCCAACAGGTAGTAATCCTCACTGCTCAGCAGTTTCAAGAGGAAGCTCTTAAGTATCAACCCATGTGCAAAGCAGAGTGCCTGCATCTCCTGAACAGCAATCCATGTTAAAATCAAACTGTTCCTACCACTGGTAAGGAACTCTTCTAGATAATCTACCATCATACAAGCTGTCATTCCATATAATACTAAAGAAAATGTATCAGGCTGGTGCAGAGAGCTATAAGAGCTAAAAAACTACAGTCTATCCCCTCACTTCCTGAAAAATGAGTTTCAATGCAGTGTATCTATAGTTTCAAAATTAAGAGTAGAAGTATTTTTAAGTCATTAAGATGCAGAACACATACTTAAAAAGTTAGGCATACCATACTAATCTGTTTACTAAACTGACAAGAGTGACATCCCCCAGTCCCCACGCACATTCCTAAAAGCACAAACACATCTATGTTGCCATCACCAACACGTCTCACAGGACGATTAGCTTAACTGAAGTTTCATACTTCGAAGGTCTTGTTTGCAGACTAACAGTGTGATCCAACACGAAACACACAGAATATGTATTACAAGTCTAAGTTAAGCAGCTTTTGGTCAGGACAGCTCTTCAAGTTTGAGTCATTTTAAAGGATCTTAAAATAACAATAGCCTAAGGCAAACACACACATTTGTTTTCCCTCCACAAACCAAGATTAAAAAAAACATAGCCAGAGGCCACTGGAAAGAAAAAAAAATAAAAAAAGACAAATGGTGCTTAAATAATCTAAAATATAAGTCCCCTTACTTCCCGGGGCACACACAGCACAGTAGTCAGAGCTGCAGGAAGGAGCTGTTTGCCCATGTGCACCTATTTAAATAGTCCCATTCTTCACTGTGTATACACGAATGCACCGAGACACCCACCACTTTGTCCATAAGCTTCCAGGTCTTCTCCACAGTCCTCCGGTCGGCAGCTGCGTGCTTGGGGGGACCCACAGCATCCTGAATGGCATCGATGAAGCCCAGGATCCGTCCCTTGCGCGGGTTCCGGCCGTTGATCGAATTGGCCATCTGGGAGCCAAGCTGGCCGCAACGACAGAGAAACACAGACTCACAAGGTGCTCTGAAAACATCTTGTCACAGAACCCGTCGCAGCCTGCGAGGCAACACTTCCTTCTCCACGGGCAGGAAAGGGCAAGATCAGGGCATGTTCAGGAACAAGCTTAACTTTTCACGACAAACAGCGTAAACCCACCTGGCCCGGGTTTACATTGGCAGAAGCGATCCCGGATTTATCGTCAACACCGGCACGGGCAGACGGGAGGGGGGAGCACACCCGCGCCCGGCTCCGCGCCCCCATGCCCGGCCCCGCACAACAAAAGAGGCCGCGGCAGAGCGGGGGCAGGAGGAGGAGGGAGCAGGGAGAAGCAGCGAGGGCAGCAGGCAGGCAGGAACCCGCAGGGCAGGCGGGGGCAGCGCCTGGCAGCGCGGACCTGGCTCCCGGCGCACACAGATGTACGGGCTGGCGCGGCACGGCCGAGTGCCGAGGGCGAGGGGAGCCGCCGGGAAAAGCCGGGGGCGGGCAGGGAGGCTCCTGAGCCCCCGCGGCGGCCGTTTCCCCCGTCCTCAGCCCGGAGCGGCCAAGCGTCTCTCCAGACGAGGCTCCGTTCCCTCCGGCGGCGGCGGCTCCCCTGACGCGGGAGGCAGGCGGAGCGGAGCGCATCCCGCCCAGCGCCCGCGCCCCGTCCCGGCTCCGCGCCGGCCGCCCCAGGGACTCTGCCCTGAGCTGCCGCTGCTGCTGCTGCCGCCCCGCAGGGAGCCGTGCGGAGCTGCTGCCCCGCCGCCTGCATTGCCCTCCCGTACCACAGCCCAGCCCGCCCGGCGGGCGGGTGGGAATGTGCGCGCGTGTGTGGAGAGTCCTACAGACACATGCAAGAGAGACAGACAGAGACAGAAAGAGAGAGAGAGAGAGAGAGAGAGATGCACACGCACAGGTCTGTCTGCGGCACCGCTCGCAGCCCCCGGCAGGCTGTGGTCTCCCCGCACTCCTGGGAAGTGAGGCTGGCTCGGCGGCGGCCCCGCTCCCTGTGCCGCTCCCGCCCCCTCCCCGCGGCGCGCTGGCGGCCGCTCCTCTGCTCGGAACATGCCCACCCCCGGCACAACACTCCGTGCGCGCCTGCGCGGCGGGGCCGCGGCGGGAGCCCCACCCCCTGTCCGCGGGCGGGAGCCGCCGCTACACAACAGCCAATCGTGAGGGGACATTGAGCTTGATTGACGTGCCCTCCAGCAAATGGGCGTGAAGTTGGGCACGGGGCGGGGTGGCGGCGGGGTTCGGGATCGAGATGGGGAGGAGGCGGGAAGGAGGGGTTGGAGTGGTGGGAAAACTGGCTAGGATCCGTGGTTGAAGCCGGGGAGGGGTGGTTCCGGCCTCACCTGGTCCCCCTGGCGCAGGGGACGGCCTGAGGCCTTTGGGGCAGCCGGGGTGCCGGCAGGGGCGCGCACACTGACATTGTCCTTGGCTGTGGGGTCTCCAAGGGCTATGGCAGCGTGTCCCTCCCTCTCCCGGTGGAGCCGTGGGACCCCTGCCTGCGGGAGCGCTCGGTGTGTGTTAACAATCAGTAGTCATTTTTGCTGCCTTTGCGCTTCCCCTTCTCGCTTCTGGGAGTTTGCTGGGTTTTTTGTGGCCACTAAGAACAGGAACTTCTTCACCTTCTGTTTGTCTCGGTTCTTCTCTTGATTTTTTTTTTGTTTTGTTTTTTTTGGGGGGGTTTTGTTTGTTTGTTTGTTTGGGTTTGGGTTTTTGTTTATTTTGTTTTGTTTTGAGAGGGAGGGAGGTTTGCTCCTAAGCAAGTGCTGAGATTTCCATGCTGGAAATGGGCTGGAGAGCCTCATGAAGCTCCCAAAGGTGGTGAGGGAGTATGTAAGCACCTTCTAGTCAAAAACACCTCTTCAGGATTTTTTTTAATGGATTCCCCCTTTTTCCTAATAGTTCGTAATTTTTCTGACTTTTGACTTCCAATAAAATAGGAGTCAGGAAAAACAGTAGTAAAGCTTGTAGAGTATTTCAGTTTCCTTTTCTTTATATTGTAATTTATAGGCATATAGTGCAGATGTCTTCCTGTTGATTTAAAATGCTACTTTCTTGGGCACACATGCAACAATAAAATTATATCAATGAATTGACAGTTACTTGCCTTAAGTGGATTGGAAACTTCTCATTTTACTGTAGGCTCTGTAAACTCTCTTCCCTGTGTTGTTTTAAATGTTGGTTTAAAATTCTTCCTGGCAGGTATCTTTGTCCTTTTTTTCTTTGGACCTCAGCTTTCATAAGATTAAGTTGGTAGTGACTCTTCACTCCGTTGCTATCTCTTGTTTGGTTGTGAATAAAGCAGAGGATCTGATGCTTTTTCTGAACTTGTAAAATCTTTGGTTCTTTCAATTGTTTTGTTTCCATTGTTGTTGTGTCATTCCCTTCATATTCTGCACTCTGCCAAGAGCTATGATCTGTGAGTTCCACTTGGTAGCTGTCTAGGGCTGAGTCATGTTGTCTTGCAGTTCATCTGAGTACAGAGCCAGCAGGAGCAAGCAGCTTGGTTCCTTGCATCCCTCTGCATCTGTATTGTGTTATTAAGAGTTCCCCAGTTTGATGGGGAAAGTGAGTGGTTTTCAAACAGTGTTTTTTTATGGCTGATGCTGTACAGTAAGTACAGATATTCTGGGATTTGCAGTCAGCGGGTCATGTGAGTGCATGTTGGAAGGAAGCCAGCAGGGAGAAGCAGGTGAAAGAGATACCTACATCTTCAGTATCAAAGCTATTAAAGATGGTTCAGGCTTTTTTTTGTGCTGTGCTGTGGAAGGACTAGAAGATGCAGCATTGCTTTTTTGGTTTGAAGCACACATGGTGACAGGGCTATTTAGAAGACAGCTGAGAGGTGAGGCTGAGAGAGGAGGAGCAAACAGCTGCTGTGTGAAGTTCAAGGCATGTGTTTCTTAGCAGTGGAGAACATAAAGACTTGGCTTTCCCACTGGATCTGTGGGGTGCATAAGCATAAAGGGTGGTTGCTGAAGGTCCTGGCCACCTGGAATATTTTGGTGCAGACCAGCAGCAGTATGTTAATGTAGATGTCCAGCAGAACATGTGAGGATATTCCTGCTGCCCAGCTTCAGGCTCTCCAACACACTAAATCCAGAAGCTAGTCTGCCATGAATAGGTGCACTGAGACCACAAGGTGTTTCAAAGTAGAAACCTAGGTCAGGTTCTTGGATTCTCTGGGAACAGCATCTTGCTGTTTGGTCTATATGCAAGGTGCATAGGTAAGTTTGGTGTCTAATTAAGGCCCCAAAATGATGTATGTACAATTAAAATGCCTCCACAGATCTCGTTTACTCATAAGCTCTCCAACTGTTTATTTTACTTCTTATTATATTAGAGAACATGACAGTTTGGATCTGTGTTTTAATCACTGTATGAAAACACTACAGAAGGGAAACAAGGTAAATCTGAGGGAACAGATTTTGAGAATTCTATGTTACATAAGACTGATCCTCAGCCTAGTTAAGGTATTAAAGAGTCATGTAATGATGACATCATTAGGATGTCATCCAGGATTTGGTCAAAATCTGTAAAATTTGTGGAGTGAAGGTGATTGTGAGTGGATGTGATAAAGGCATCAAGACAGTGTAAAACAAGCCTTGTTTTGAATTCTTTAAGTCCCTTCGTAAAGTAGGAATTTCAGATCTGAGTATTTTAGTGAAAGGCAAGATCATGTGACTTCTTGAAAAGCCCAGCTGCTTGGTAGGGAGAAAATAGATACAAGAGATTAAAATTAAAATAACAGTTATATTCATCCATTGCAGTATTTTCCTATCTGTTAACTGGTTTGGGGTTTTTTTTCGGGGGGGTAGTTGTGTTTTTGTTTTAGTTTTTGTTTGGTTTGATTTTTTTTTTTTACTTTCCTGGTGACTCATTTCTCTGGAGTTCTTAGACAGCCTTATGAATGAAACTTCATGTTGCTTCTCTTGAATGAATTCCATCAAAGAGCAATTGACAGTAGTTGGAAGCAAGAGGGATGTTTTGGTTTGGTTTTCTTTGTTCACCAGCTATTAAAATATTACTGATTTTCTGCAGTCTGTCAATACATGTGGTTTGGGAGCTTTTGTCATCTGTGTGTATTTTTTGCTGTGGTACAAGTGACTTTTTGCCCGAATACACTGAAACATAAGAACAATGAAGAGGTCAAATGTAGGTTTTATTTATAGCAACATAAATAAGATAAGGTTAATATAGTAGAAGATGTGCTGAGTTAAAGGACATGGTAGCAATGCTTGTAAAAGCTTAAGTCATCTATTTCAAGATTTGAATGGGGAGCGACTTCTTGCTAGTTTTAACACAGCACTCGGGCTCTCGCAGCATCCTAAAAACTTTTAAAGTAATTTCTTTGTGTTTTGACTGAATGTGTACATATGTGATGAAAAGGCAGCTGTTCATGGGGGCGTAGCATTCTGCAGTGTCAGGCAGTGGTTTAATGGCTGAACTCTGACAAGGTCACCCTCTTCTCAGCATGTGCCATCCCCAAGCAGAAAGCAGCTGGTCTCTTTTTGCTGGGAAGCTGAGACTTGTAAGGGCCACTGAAACCTGCTGGCATTTTGGTGCCCTACCTTTATCTGTTCTGTAAACACATCAAACAAAACAACCAAACAAAAACACCAAGAAAGGAACCCACATTCCACAACCCAAACAAAAAAAAAAAAAGAAAGAAAGGAAAAGCTAACTATTGTAACAACAGATAACTCTAAGATCCAGGACTATTTGCTTAAATACGTTTTTGCTAGCCCATTTTTGATATGTATGTCTTTTGCACACCCTCTTCCCCCCATATCCAATTATTACATAGTCACCTGTAATAGTTGTTAAGAATATTCAAGTGGAGCAAATGGAAGATCCTTTCATGTTATTATTTTACAGTGCCCTCAATGTTGCTAGGCTCTTCAGATCTAAAAAAACCTCCCGTTGTTAAGCTGCAAGCCACCGGCATGGGTAACTTTTAATGTAGATTGCAATGTATTTACCTTTTTTATTGTAGCAAACTGAGAGACAGAAAGCAAAACCAATCACCTGTGGCACTAAATATTCTCTTACTGATAATTTAAGTTGCTATAATAATAGATGCTTTCCTTGCCTTAGTGGATAATTACTTACAGAAAATTGGTAGTAACAGTGACAGTTTGTTGTGCAATTATTATCTGGTTAATTTGGCTACCTTTAACTATGTTTTCTCCATTTACTTAGCTTCTGTTTTTCATGGTCATCAAGTAGTCAAGCTTACTTTTTAAAAGATTTTGTTAGTGGTTTCTAGAAATGAAAAAATATTATTTTCACACGTGAAATGTGAATAGTGTAACAGTTCAACCCCCTTTGCTGTTGAACTACTGTAAGAAATAAAAAAAGCACCCACTGCTTTTCAAAGTTTCCATACACTGTAAAAATCCATAATTACTCCAGCAGGCTGTTGCAGTACAACTGATGCTAATGCAGTGTTGCTGTGTTAGTTCCCTCTGCTGAGTAATTAAATCCTCTTTTCATCCTTGGTTTGGAAGATGAGCTAAATTTAGCTCTGTCTGTACCTGTAAATAAAATGAACCAGGCTCTGTTCTCAGGCCCTGAGGCCTGGCAGCCTGGCAGAGGGCTGGTGGTCACCATTCTTACTGAAATTGCACCACCTTCACCACCCCCTCACAGCCCACATCCAAAACACCTACATCCAAGGAGTGACCTGTGCTGACCCTGAACCTCCCTGGGATTTGTTTAGGAAAACACCTGCTAACATGGGCCAAAACTGCTAGGGACTATCTTAATGATCTAGCACCACATTTCGTGGTGTGCCTGGGTTGTTGTGGCTGTAGTAACCACACAGCTATAGTTGGAGTTTGAGTGCATATGAATAAACACGTGTGCATACACAGTGTAATAGGGGACGTTTCATCTTTGTTAATTTTGGTTGGGCTTCAAATAACAAAATTACTCTCAACTGGCTTCTTGATGAGTGAACTTAAAGAGCATGCTGGCAAGAATTTTACTGACTAGGGCTCTTATGCTCACGTTTTCCAATCTTTCATTTGCAC